AATGCCCAATTTTATTTTTAAATTTTTTTTTTCCAGCTTATACCTCTTCTCAGAACACTAGATCTCTTTTGTGTTCCGCTGCCTGGTGATCTCATCATTCGGATGCCTCATACCTATCTCAGATAGAACATATACAAAACGGTTCCCTTGATCCAATCCTTCCCAGCTTTACCCATCTTTACAGTTAATCCAATTCCGCAGCTTAGAACCTGGAAGTTATCCTTGCTGCCTTGCTCACCCTCAACCTCCACATCCAATCTTCATCTAGTCCTATCAAGCTGAATTCCAGTTTACCTCTGACATATCCACTGCTTTCTCTGTCTCTTACTGCCCTCTGACCCAGAGCACCTTCATCACAGCTTGACTATCACACTGGTCGCTTAACTGACCTTTTTACTGCCACTCTTGTCTCCTTCCAACTTACTCTGCACCCACAGTTAAAGTAGTGGGATCATGTCTCTCTCCCTTGCATAAAGCCCTCCAGTTGCTTTCCATTGACTTAGGATAAAAATCCCAAATCTGAATAGGCAGTTCATACAAGAAATTCAAATGACCAATGTGCATACCGAAAAACAACAGTCTACCTCATTTGTAACAAGGAGAACATAATTTAACCAAAATAAGATACCATTACACTTTGAAGAATGGTTAAAATTGAAACGATGGACAGTTTTGAGTATTATCAAGGATTTTGAAGAAAACAGGAACTTTCATACACTACTAGTGGTAGTATAAATGGTATAACTATTTTGGAAAACTGCTAGGCATTAGCTACAAAAGTTGGATGTATGCTTACCCTGCGACCTAGTTCAAATATGTATATACTTGAACCAGGAGACATCTGCAAGAATGCTTATAGCAGCATTCTTCATATTAGCCAACAACCAAAATACATAAATGTCCATGCACTAATAGACAGACAACTGTGGTATATTCCTAAAATGTGGTGTGTCGTACAATGGAGTGCTGTAGAACACTAGAAATTAATGTAGCTGCACAGTTCAGATGAGTCTCATAAAGTCGAGCAAAAGAAGCCAAAAAGAATACTATATGTTTCCAGTCATATAAAGTAAAAAAAAAAACAACAAAAAAAAAAACCAGACAAAACCAAACTGTAGTGTAGGCTATTATTTAAGCAGTAAAACTTCTTTAAGAGCAAAGGTGTGGTTACCATAAAAATCATATGGGCTCATTTGAGGGAAAGGAGAACTTTGTGACTAAGATTCTGTGGGGCTGTCAAGCTATTGGTTGACCAGGGCGGTGATTAGATGGGGGTCCACTTTACAATAACTCGGTAAGCTTTACATTTGTTCCTGTATTTTTCTAAATAAGCAGTACATTTCATAATAAAAAAGGTTTTAAAACCCTAATATAGTGTTCTATTATAATTCTGTAAATTGCTTCTAGAATTCAAGTTGCCAAATACGTTTTATACACAAAATACTTTGCACGCTTGCTCTACAAAACAATGAGGACAATGAGAAAACCAGCTCATCTCAGACTTCTCCACAGAGTTCTATGCTCCTTTTCATCGGCTGTGTGTGTGCATGTGCATTAAACTCCTCTAGGTGTTTGTTCTACTATTTAGGTTTCTTGTGAGGAAGTAGGTAGGAAAATCTTTTAAAATTTCATCAAATAAAAATATGCTACAGACAATAGGGTACTGAAGGCTGGGGCGGAGGCGGGCTGGAGGGGGTCAATGGGGGAAGAAGGGGGACATATGTAATACTTCCAACAATAAAGAACTATTAAAAAAAGAAAGAAAGAAATGGAGCTGCCTGAGAATCCCCCTTATATGCAGAAGACAAAGCCTGGATTGCAGGAGCGATGGCCTTGGGTTGGGATGGCTTGTGAAGAGGCTGCATCAGGAAAGGGCACATCCTCGGTATCTTCCTCACCCCATCTTGTTGCTGCCCAAGGGTTTCAGGAATCCAAGGCAGTCACCCCAGGGCTGGTGGGCACCGGATTCTATGCTTGTTTGTTACTGAAATCATGTGACTATCTTCAAAAAGTTTTCCCTTCTAACACTTTGACCCAGTTGCCTGCCTCTCTCCACGATCCCTTCTAGTCTTTATTGTTATCTTAGACTGAGAATTTAGAAATATTTATAGCAACAGAAATAACAGGGAGATTCACAAATGGGATGTTTTCCCATTTGTTTTTAACTCTCAAGACCTGTAGGTTTATTAAAGCCGTGTTCAGTAGAGGCTTTTTGTTTTCTTCATTTATTCTCTCTCAAACCAACATGACCAGTGCTGTGAGTTAGCATAGTTGATGCCTATAATACAGCTTTTCCAAGATTTTTCTTCTGGGTTGACTAGTTAATGGACTTTAATTGCCCATTTCCATTAAAAAAAAGAAAAAAACAGCAGCAGCAAGGCTTCAGCTTTCCGCAGAACAGTGGCTGATGGGAAGGGCACGAGAAGCTTGAGGAGGTCAGTGAGGGAGGGTTGCAGCTGGATTGATGTTGACCTCTTGCTGACTCTCTTCCTCATTAGTGAGGATGGTAAACAACAAGCTAATTAAAATCTCAGGAAGCGGGAAGATGAGACGGGGGAGAAAATGAATTCATGAAAAGGAATCCAGAAAGCATGCCACCAGTTCATTCATATTAAAAACACGGGAGTGGATGATACAAAGGAGGCATGCTTTGAGCTGTAATGCTAAGAGAATGTGGTTCATAGAAGGCTGATGTTTAGATGCGATGATAGTGGTGGGTAAAATAAAACCACAGCAACCTTAAATTTCATACTTTGGGAAAAAACGCAGAAGCTCCTGCAAAATAAGAGGCAGGGACTATTCGTGTGGTCACTACATGTTCCTTCCATTTTCTGCTCTGCTTCAATAACATAACTGTAATTGTGTTCTAATTGTGGACATTTGTACATCGCTGGTTTTAATCAGGTGCTTCCATCAAAGTGTATATAGAGCACATACTGTGTGTGTAATTTCTCTTGTTCTACAACCAACTCCCTCCATCCCCCAGTCACAATCCCTATTGCTACTAAATGCCTAATAAATATTGAGTAGGCACCTACTGGCTGTGGCACTGTTCTAAGCATGTTCCAGGGTTGATTGCTTTTAGTACCACAGCTTTTTGAGGCAGATTGCCTAAGTCACATAGCTAGTGAATGTTTGAACTGGGACTTGGACAGGTGACTGCCTGACTCAAAAACTCTCAATTTTCCCCATTGATGGAATTAATACTATCTAGTATTGTTGGTGGAATTACCTAATTTACTCATGTGCTCTCTGGCCCCCTGCTTATCCTGTGACCAGGAGCAAATATCTGTAAAGTGATATATGTGTGTGTTTCTCCCTGTGTGTGCATTCTGTGGCTAGCCTAAACTTCTCCTTTTACAAAGTTTTCCACAATCCCCAAATGCCTTTCTGCTCCCCTTTGATTCCATTCCACTCATTTTGTACTATTTCATATAATTAATCAAACCCTATATAAAAATCCATTGCCATGGAGATCAATAATGTTGAAACAAACAGTACTGAGGACTATGTATACACACTACTATGAGTACATATCTCTTCTGTAAGTATGTCTTATTTTCTCAACAAAAAGTGGAGATACCTTGATGGTAAGTGTTGTGTTACTGTAATATCTTTTATCTTCCAATATAAAGGCTTATTGATTGATAGCTAACTGGGCCCAGTGAAGAATTATTCTATTACTTGGTCTGAAAATTTAAATCAAAAGATTCATTTGTTTTTATTCTATTTCCTGTTTGCTTCGTGAAATATAAGCCAAATTTTTCATCTTCTTGCGTACTTTATAATTCTTACTGATAATAATTTTCACTTAATGTTCTTCATATTAAATCTCTTTCATGAAAATAATCTTGTGATGAATTCTCGTTGCTTTTATTTAAGTTTCTGATTTCACTTTTCCTCTTACATCTCCTTCATACATTCTCTGCATTAACAGGTTTTTTTTTAATACACATAGGGCTTGCATTTCTAAATTAAGTTTCTTTCATTGGACAGGGTGGATAGCTCTCATGTATTTACCCGAGAGGCCCCCACCACTGGAATATCTAATAACTAAAAAATTCAAAATAGGGAAACCTTTACTTTCCCTGTAATTTTCATCTTAAAGATAATTGTTTATTTGCTTAATTGATTCTGCATGAAATCCTTTTGCTCTCTATCCTCAGCATGTTGTCACTCCAAGATCGTTAGTTTTTAGTGAAAGAAAAAGGGGAACAATTAAATATGAAAGGTGAACATTTCTAACCACAAGGGACAGCTGGAGTTCATATGATGTGACAATTTTCTTTTTCTGCTGCAGACTTGTTGCACCTCTGCAGGGAATGAAGCAAATTAGTGGCTGTGACAGTAATATTCTATTCTATACAAATTTTTACCCTTGGAATATAATTATTTAATTGATTGTAGGGATGAATAATGCATATGATTGCAGTCCTGGCCTAGGTATAGAATTCTTCATAATGCCTTTTCTTGAGGTCCATTTGGTTCTCAAAAAAAATGTGCTTTTCACAGTGTTACTTCTTAGGGCCTTTGGACTTGATTAATTACATTTTTCCACTTCACTATTCATTAACTTGATATCCAAATATTTTGAACATTTTTATATGAAATATGACCTCACTGGATCTGCAAATTAACTTTCATTATTATGATCCTATTCTCTTCATTTTTTAATTTATTTCTAATTTATTGTTTTCTATCAAGTTCTTCTCTTGTCCATTTTGGTTATTGTTAGATGATGTGCTTTTGTAAATGAACACTTATTAGGTTTCAGGCATGTCATTTGGAGCCTCATTTCTTTTGTGCTCTTCTATATGTAACTGATTGCAATCTTTGATCATTCACTGTTAGTTTTCCATGTTCACTAATTGTGTGAAATAGAAGTGAAGAAAGACCCCAAGAAAAGAGGATAATCGAATCATGGTTCTCATTAAAGTGAATTTGGTTAAGTGTTAGGGATTCTATTTTCATTTTCACAGTGGATAATTTTTTCCCCTCAGAATATGAAGAAGATTTTGAAGTAGACGAGGAGAAACAAGATGAGAAAGCTAATAAAGAAGGACAGGCTGATGATCAAATGAATGAAATGTCAAAGTCACCATCAGATGATGAAAAAGATAATTTAGACCCTGAAAAGGACAGTGAAACCTCGTCACAGAAGGCACCAGATGCTGATGACAGTGTGAAAGATGAGAGTGATGGATGCTCTGATAGTGAATTGGAAGAAGATAAACAAGGCAAGTCATTTAGTTTATCATATGACATGGACTGTTGAACAAGTGTGCATTCCAATTTTCTTCTTTATGTTTAACTAGAGGCCCAATGCACGATATTTGCACAAGAGTAGGCCTTCCTTCCCCTGGCTGCCGGCACCAGCTTCCCTCTGGCACCCAGGACCCAGACTTCCCTCCAGCCACTGGCAGACACCCGGGACCCAGGCTTCCCTCGCAGCCCCAGCTTCGTCCAGAAGGATGTTTGGTCTAATTAGCATATTACACTTTTATTATTATAGACTAGAGGCCTGGTGCATGAAATTCGTGCATAGGGGGAGTCCCCTCAGCCCAGCCTGCACATTCTCCAATCTCGGACTCCTCGGACATCCCTCTCACAATCCAGGACCACTGGCTCCTAACTGCTCACTTGCCTGCCAGCCTGATCACCCCTAACTGCCTCTGTTGGCTGGCCTGATTGTCCCTAACTGCCCCCTCTGCTTGCCTGGTTGCCCTTAACTGCCCCCCTTGCCAGCCTGGTTGCCCCAAATGCCCCCACCCACTGGTCTTGTTGCCCCTTACTGTCCCCCCCCTGCCAGCCTGGCTGCCCCCAACTTCCCCCCTCTGCTGGCCTGGTCACCCCTAACTGCCCCCCGGCCCCACGCCAGCCTTGTCGCCCCACGCAGCCTGCTGTTTGGTCTTTACTGTTATTGTGATGGTGTGACGGTGTCCTGGACAAGTTGCATATTCCTCTATTATTATTATAGATGAGATAATCTTCCTTTAAGGGAATGTTTAGAGCATATTTCCCCAACCAGAGGGTGCTGATCAATCAGTCTTCTGCAAATATCCAATTATGGAGTGACTCTTTAATCCTTCTTCTTTCCTTAGTTTGGTAAGATTTTTTAGCTGGATGTCAGGTAAAAGTTATAGTGACACATCTGCTGTTTACTTAAAAAAATATTTTTTTATCATAAACTATCCCCCCTTATACAACACATACACATACACACACACCATTTTATGGCTCTGGAAAAATGAACAGTAGCTTGTACTCAATTAAAGAAAAAGTTGAAGATTCCTGTCTTAGGTTCATTTTTTTTTCTCAATTTACTTTGGACACATGATAATGGCATATTAGTTTCATGAAAAGATTATCTCTTGGCAAAAGTGGCCTCCACACAATTTTCAAGCCTAAAATAACTCTGAATGGTCTCAGGGAAAACACAGATCTTTCCATTAGAGAAAGAAACCCTCATCGTATGAGAATATCTTAAATTTTTAAGACCTTTTTAAAGATTTTAAGTCATGGAAATTATGTCCAATCAAAGAAGGAACCCATTTACTTTAGACTAGAGAATGAGGTCATATTATGATGAGTTTTTGAGTTAATCTTCACTTTCCTCATTGCTTTCACCTCTCAAAATTTGTTCTAATAAAATCTCAAAAGTTTGAATTTAAGGACTATATTAGGATAATATGAAATAAGAGTAAATTAAGTAATCAAGTTATCACCCAAGCAAATATTTATAGTTCTGCTCTCTTCAAGAAAAAACTCAAGTAAGCCTATTCTAAAATTCCATGCACACATAGACAAGATGATAAAGAATAGAAGTTAGAGTTAAAAAGAAGATAATTTTACTAGGAACAATAGATGAAATCATGACTATGCTTGAACCAAAAATTTAATCCCAAACTTTCTGACAAAGTAAAGAGTAAGACATAATGTAAACATTTAGAATGGTGTTACCTATCAGTAAACTTGAAAACCATGTTTACTCTAATTTTTATTACAGTTGAAAGAACCAGTCAAGATTAATGGTCAAACACTGAAATATTTTTTTATAAAGTCTTAAAGTAGACCTTTTCTATAAATTCTCTTACTACTTACATTTTAAGTTTCTACATGTGCCTAATATAAGTTATTTTCTCAATTTGAATGTCAATATTGGGTTTATGTATATAGTCGTATCTGAAATGGAGAAAGTTAAAGAATTCTATGGAAAAGTGGAGTCACCTGAATCAAATTTTAAAGAAACTATACAAATGACTTGAACCTGGAAAAGGATTGAAACTGTGTTTGCATGTAGATATAACTGGTTCAAAATACAGGACTCAATTTTTTAATTTCTTCAATAATGGTGGGAAATTAGCAAGTGTTGGTTTCATAAAGATTCAGTACATTTATTTAATATATGGTCATCTGACATTTTTGTGCTACATAATCAGCTTGATTTCTTGAATCAGATAGATTTTTTTCTAACAGTAATTTTCTTTTTATGTTCAAACTGAGGGTGTAGGCAATACTTGGATCTTCCTTGAAGGGAAAACTTAAGTCATATAGACACGCAATAACTGACAATGATATGTAAGCTTTAACGCTGAATACTGCTTATATATAAATAATTGGAATTCTGTGTTTAGAAAGGCATTCTATAGTTATTGTTTATTAAGATTATATTTTGTGCTAAGCACTGTGCTAAATATTTTCAATGAATTATCTGATTTACCTCCAACAATAAGCAGGTACTTTCTTTATATCTCTATTTTACAAATAAACTTGGAAATGGTGAGATTAAGTAACTCTCACAGCCAGAACTCACATTACCAACTGCAGAGCCTGAATTTTGGAAAATACAAATATAATGTTTCTCCAAATAAGAAAATCTCTGCTTATATAAAATTAAAGCAAATCCCCTCAATAAAAGGATTATATTGCCTTAAGAATAAACATTTTAGAGACATTTATCTTGAGCTTTTAAAAATCCTGTTCTCTAGTCTCTGTTTTTGTTTCTTTTTAGTTTTGTTTTATTTTTAAACAGAGGAAATAGAAATGGAGGTTTTTTAAATTTTACCTTAGTTCATGTTTCTCCTCCTTGGATAGACTTCCCAATCGATTCCCAGGCCTTTGCTCAGTTCCAGCTCATCCCCCTCCTCCTCTGACACATTTCTACTTCATCAGCCTTCACTGAGGTCTTTACTTTATGAGACTCTATCATTCAGTAGTTTGGTTTATATTTATGTTTTTTGTGTGTTAAATTTTGCTCAAGGTAATTAATTATACCAGTTCAGAACACACAAATTATAGGAACTGATAACATCTCTAAGATATTATCTTTGTTATTGCTCACAGAGGTGATTTCCTAAAAGATCTTTTGTAAATATTAAGCAAGTACAATTAATTTTTTTTAATACCGAGAACACTAAGGTACTTTTGTTAGTGTCATAAAATCTAGTTACATGTATGCTATATGATTATTATTAGAATTTTATTGAAAAAAAAAGATATTATCTTTGTTATTGCTCACAGAGGTGATTTCTAAAAGATCTTTTGTCAATATTAAGCAAGTACAATTAATTTTTTTAACACCGAGAACACTAAGGTACTTCTGTTAGTGTCATAAAATCTAGTTACATTTATGCTATACGATTATTATTAGAATTTTATTGAAAAAAATTTGTATAAACTTTGCTGCATTATATAGATATAGAATATAGAATATTTTAAATAGATATGTAGTGAGAGTTATTAGAATGTATAAAATCTAGTCCATAAGTGTTGAGGAATTTAAGAGCCAATAATTTAAAAAATATATTTTATTGATTTTTTACAGAGAGGAAGGGAGAGGGATAGAGAGTTAGAAACATTGATGAGAGAGAAACATCGATCAGCTGCCTCCTGCACACTCCCCACTGGGGATGTGCCCACAACCAAGGTACATGCCCCTGACTGGAATCAAACCCGGGACCCTTCAGTCCACAGGCCGATGCTCTATCCACTGAGCCAAACCGGTCAGGCAAGACCCAATAATTTTATTGGCTAACAATTTTGTCTTAATTTTCAATAATGATATTATTAAGCTATACTTTTAGAGCTTCTTTGTATCTTTGGTATTTACATCAAAACTTTAACATTATTATGAAATAAAGTGTTTGTTAATCTTTCTTTCTTCCACTGTCAGGCTTGTTTATTTTTCTCTTTGTTTTGATAACCTGACCCTATGTTATTTAAAAGCTTCCCTTTTAGTGTGTGGAATATCAGAATTACAGATTTCATGCAGCAAACAAGTAGCATGTATTAAAAATGATAATGTCATGATAGATTTCTTGGAACACTCTCCTGAAAAGCCAGACAGCACTTCATCTTCAAAAGCGTAAGAGGCATATTGTGACCACTGAATCCCAGACACCAGTACATCCCTTTTATTGACATGATTAAGAATCTTGCTCTTAGTATTTGGATGTGTTTCATTTGAACCTGCCTGCACCTGTTCCCAGAGGGCAAACAATTGCCCAGGCTGTCACTCTTGTGACAAGTTGGCCCCATTTAAACTGCCAGCTAACAATTGCACCGCCGGCCTTGATGAATACACCGTGCTGAACAGGGTGTGAGTGATAGAGTGCTAGGGACTGAGAGCTGACTCAGAGAAGACCCTGCTTTAGGAATGATGTGTGAGACTTCCCATCGTTTATAAAGAGGGACAGCTTCCCTTTCTCTGCATTTGTGTTGGCAACCCCAGCTGCTAATTCGCCAAATGAAAATATATTGTCGTAATGAATGTTGTAAGGTTTAGGGGACAGTGTCATGATACTAAGAATATACTTTCATCCTTTTATGGACAGTTTAGATGATAGTGCCTATGAGTAACAGCTAAAGACTAAGTAGTTCCTTATGAGAAAGATGTGAGAAGGGAGTGGGGAGTGGGGAGACAGTGTTCATTCCTAGAATACAAAGTGAAGAACTTAAAAATTAAAGCAAATATTTTTTATTAATAAGAAAGATAACATTTCCCTTGTGCTATTTTCCAGTCTGTTGAACAAATAGGCCGTATAGAAATTTAAAATCCCAGAGTCACAAAAATATTCTATTTACTTGACTTACAGACTGCAAGGATCTCTGTCTTCATTTCTTGGCCTATGGGCTTGAAGAGATGCATATGAGGGAAGGCTGCTCCTCAATATGATATTATACATGCTATGAAACCACACTCTGTGCACTTCAGTGTAACTTGTCTGCTGGTTGGGCCAGAAAATATTAAAGGAAGATTGTAGGAGGCCTTTTGGTCAAAGTCTATGTGTGATTTTTGCATGATTAGTCAAACTTTAATTTTTCTTAATGGTAAGAATTCCTTAATTGCCAGGACTGACCAGCAGACCCTGACCAATGGATGAATGATTACTCTGACACATGTTTCTGTGAAAGAGAGGCTAAGGGACTACTTGGCTGTAGCCACCAAGTAGCCTCATTCACCTGCCTTCTTAGGCTTTTACTGTAACAACAGCTTGAACTAAAATTAACTATTAGATACTATCAGCAAGGTAAGCATCTTTGAGAAAACATATGCGTCCTTTAAGCAAGGATGTTTTGAAGTCTAAACATAAAGATTCCAGTAAAATACCTGGGGCTCTGACTTGTTTGGAAAAGTCAAGGCAGGGGCTGCCGCCTTCGGCAAGGTCTCAAGGAGGCCGCCTACCTTTCAGAGAATCCTCCTTATAGACTCTCCCACCAAGTCCCGTGCCTCCCCACACTTAATCTATATTTACTTTTCAGTTGTTGAAGTAGGAAGTCATGGTAAATATTTAAATGCAGCAGCATCTTTTAGTTTACATAAAATACTTTCCATGAAGTATTTTTTTTATAGCTTTGAGATTCAAAGCAAAGGCACTACCCAGGCACCCAATAAAATCTTATGGAATGCCAGGCTGTTTGGCTAGATTAATGGATAAATGTAAAAAGACTTAGGCAGTAGTACAATGTGACACATGATTTTATTATATTCTCAGTATTTTAAGTGTTTGTTTTAACGTTTATAAAGTAAAATTAGAGGTAAAGATGAAGGAACTTTTAGGCTTTTTTTTTCTTTTTCTTTCCTTCCTGCTATGTCTACATTTACCTGTAAATATTTATTCTTACAAAGTAATGTATATATTTCTCATTGATGAATTGAGTAATGAATGATCAGTATGAAGCTATATGCTCTCCCATAATACTAATAACTAGTTACTGTTCATAGATGAAATTTCATGATTTCTATTTATATATTCATTAAGCATATATTCATTTGACAATACTGAATGCAAAGCACTTGTCTAATTAGCATTATTGTACATGAAAATATTGACTGAAACACAGTATCTAATATAAACAGATTTGATGGATATAAATATGATCAACATAGAAGTATTAATACAAGTAATAGTATAAATATAAATTCATGTGTCATAGTTAATTTGAAGAAAATAGGAGCAAAATTTATGTAGGTTTTGCTTAGTCAATCCCTTAGACTAAGGAATGGGAAAGAGATACATAATTCATATTAGAGTTCAGAAGAGTATTGAGTCCACTGAGTTGGGATAAATGTCATTGTGTGATCTAAATTTTTCTGTCTCATGCTGTGTAAAATAGTGGTGATGCAGAAGAAGGAAGTTATCAATGAATAGTTATCAATGACATGAAAAGAGAGGACAGTGAAGGATTTAGTGACTGACTGAAGGTAGAGAGAGAAAAGTCAGAGATCCTGCTTAGGTCTTAGAACGGGGCACCACACTTGCTGGCTTTAGCCAAGGTCTCAGGCAACACGTGCACATCATTTTTTTCTTTTTTACCATGAAGACTAAGAGAAGATGCTTTCAGCATCAATACCTGGAGGGAACACTGGAGAGACAAATGGAATTGGGTGGGAGGCTGCGTTGATTTCCAACATGCCTCTGAGATTACTTTTTCCCTGTTAATGACAAAAACATTCACACATATACCCTCAAAGTTCCTTTATATAAAGCTTGTTTTATTTCTAAGAAAACAAATAAAATTAGTGTTGAAAAATCCAATTCCATGGCTCTAACACAGTTTGAGCATTTTTTATATGCCAAGTCTTGCCCCAGTGTCTGTATGAAAATGAGAGTAAAGAAAGAGAGTGAAGCCCTAGCCAGTTTGGCTCAGTGAATAGAGCGTCGGCCTGCAGACTGAAGGGTCCCGGGTTCGATTCTGGTCAAGGGCATGTACCTTGGTTGCGGGCACATTCCCAGTAGGTGGTGTGCAGGAGGCAGCTGATCGATGTTTCTCTCTCATTGATGTTTCTAACTCTCTATCCCTCTCCCTTCCTCTCTGCAAAAAAATCAATAAAATATATTTTTTAAAAAAGAATGAGAGTGAAGCAAAATTATATGGTGAGGTTAGAGAAATGCAAAAACTGAAATGAGTTTATATGGGAGGTCAGCCACCCTCACCACTTCGAGGCCATTCATTCTCCAAAGGACTGACTCAAAATGGAACCAGAGTGTGTTTTAGCCTTTGGAAATCAAACGATTAATAGAAGCTACTAAAGAAACATAGAGAAGCACTCTTTTTATTTATTTATTAGTGAACAACGCTCAGAGCCAAAGTGGGACTCATCATGACACTATTGAGGTGGTAGACATGAATATTTTTGGAAGTTTGGAACAAGTATGACCTTGTGCCCTAGCTTGTTGTGCAATTAATGAATGCCATTGATCAAACCACTAGTCAACTGGAGTTGTTTTTTATTGAAAACAAAACAAATGTGAGATGCTTGAGAGAGGAGGAGGTCATCATCTCTAAAGTTTTGGAACTAATAGGAAAAACAGCATATCCTGATTTCATAAAGTGGAGATAAAGAATAAGAAGCTAAAGTATCTGATTCCTTTGACAAACTGTGGTCATCTGGTACCTGTCAAGGTAGTTGGGAGATAAGAATAAATGGAATTGTACTTAAGGGGTTCTGTTGCCTAAAGGCTTTCCAGGGTTTGTTATTTACTGCTGTGCAGCGTCTTTCGAATCTTTGTGGAAACTCTGATATGTCTCTGAGACTATACTTAAAATGCTAAGACCTGTCATGGAAGCTGTTGGGGCTGGCGGGACTGAGGGAAAAGGATAAGAGTGAAGACAGGTAATTCTTCCCTTAAACTCTGCATCAACTGCTACAGCCATCTGTGTAGCTGCCAAGCAAAAATAAAAGAAACAGAAAAAAGAGTAAGGAGCACACAGAAAAGAGAAAATAAGAAAGCTAGGCAACCTGCAAGTGTAGGATACTACATTTGAAAATATATTCTATTAAAAACAATTATAAACACATATATTGGTTAAAAATTAAAAACAAGTTTGTATTTCTCTGGTCCTCAGCAGCATATGCCGTGACTTGTAGGTTAGGCTGTTCATCATCCCGACTAAGATTCAGTGTGTATGTCACTTTCCTGGAGATTTTTAAAAAGTTTTTTGGGGTAGTAATTACTAAACTAATGTCTGGCTACGTTAAGTCTTTAGATTGCGTATCTGTAGTAGCACATAAAGGTACTGCCTGGATCTCCTAGAATCTCTTTTAAAGATTCATTGTGCCTATCCCCAGCTTCCGCACCCTCTGCCCTCTTCAGAGGATAGCCGTGGGCAACTGGAGTTATTTCATCTTGAGGCAAAGAACCTAGGAGTGCCAAGGAACTTACGCACCCCTGGGGTGAACTAGACCAGAGTATGAAAGCCAACTCCTCCTTCAAGGGAGGAAAAATGCTACTATAATTTAGACTTCGGAGGTCCCTGTGAGATAAGACTGTTTAAATGTTTCTTGAAATAGCTCCTTTGATTGACTTCTTCCATTCCCTGTCCTGTTCCCCCACACCTGTAAGAGTTTCTCCTGGAACATTCATATCCTTGATACATCACTTATCCATGAATCCTCATCTCAGCATTTGCTTCTGGGGAACCTGAAATAATACATCATCTTCTACACACACACACACACACATCATTTCAAAAATTTATTGTGTTTTTTCTATAACAATATACTTACAAAGGTTTTCCAATAAAATGACATTCTAAAAAATACATTAATTTTTAGTTAAATGTGATTTCCTGTTGAAAACTTCTATAGACTCACAGATTACACAGGTGTTTTGTTTTTTTAAATCATGGCAACTATGTAGAACATATAGGGAAAGGGTATCAAATCTACTAAACTATATTAACTAATTTTAGTAAGATTAGTTATTAACATAATTCCCATAGTTAAATCAATTGCTTTATAAAAACAATGACACCCCCCATTTTACTTTTGTAGACATAAAAACCGCATCGTCCTCCTCGTGCAGAAGTCACCCCTACTCTAGCTGCAGTGAAGATGAGTCTGTCCTGGAGGACAGGGAAGCACATGCTGAAGACAGTGCAGACGAAAGTGTCAGAAGTTCATCTTCTCAGGAGTTGAGTGAAAATGATGAGCCAGGAAAATCACACCTTCCCACTGAGGATTCCTTAGAAATTGAAGATCAAAAAATCATAAAAGCCAATGTAGGGATCAAGACTCTGCCAAGAGAGGAAAGCTTGGAGAACGTTCTTGAAGAAGAAACAGAAAATAGAACCCAAGTGATTGCAGAGGGCTTATCTGAGGAGTCCCAGGAACATGTTTCCAAGGAAGAAAAGAAAAATTACAGGAATAAGCTTTGGAAAGGAAGCACTGCTAAGGGGAAGGACAAAAAGGCAGGTCTCTGTAGGGTGGAGAAAGGTGGTAAGTATGGCCATTGAGTTGGCCTGCCATTGTCCCCATGCATGGAAGTTGATTTTGGTCACTGCATTCTGCCAACGCTTGGGAAATACTCTTGTGATAATGCCAGAGGGATTCAATTGTGTCCTATTTCTCTCTTTGTCACATAATCATACATGTATTTTCAGCTTGCTGTTTTCCTTCTATTGCATTTAAAAAATAACTTGATAATTCTTATAGCCTGTTTCCTATTTTCTGTAAATGTCTTCCTATGGTAATTCTATCTCAACAATCAAATAAAACCCAGCAGGTGTCTTGAAGACAAGGGTGTGTGTGGCATTTTAGAGGTTAATGCCAGCAATGCTATGTGTCTTTAGCTATATACACGCGTATAGACATCTGTAGCTAACATTGATGGGTGCTTACTATGCATCAGTTTTAAGCACTTGCATATATTAACTCATCTAATCCTCACAACAGCTCAATCGCCATAAGTTAGGTCTCATTATCATTTTTTTTTTTTTACAGATGACAAAATCATAGCTAGAGGAGGTAAATTTGTAAGGATATACAGCAAATAAACATTCCTAAGATCTGAATTTAAGCAGAGTGTTCCAGTTTCAAAAAACGTCCTATTGTATCTGTTCAATAAACATGTTTAGATTTAGATAAAAAATACAAACATTTCATAGAAACCTCCAAACTTCACTTTGAGTTCTTCTCTGAAGCTTAGTAACTTCTTGGCCCAGGGGGTTCCTGGGTGTGTAAGACAGTTCCATTTGACAGGGAAGAGGGGGAGTATCCCAGAACAATCAGGTCCCAGTACCTTAGACACATGAAAGGTCTGCTACTTTTTTCAACTTTAGGAAGACAGTGAAAAAAAACTGAGTTATGTCCTGTGAACAGTCTGATACTGCCTGCCAGACATTTAGCTCTCCTGTAGCAAGCACCCTGTGCCCTGTAACTCGCATCTCAATCGATCCTTTCCCTGTGCTCTTGCTCATCTCTCTCCTTGGCCAACCTGGTGGGAATTCTACTTGATTCCAAGATAGAATTTGTTTTCACATTTAAATATTACTAAAAACCCATCTTTGTCTTAAAAGTTATAAATACTTTTCATGTCCATATTTCTTTTAGAACCTTAAAAGCTGTTATCAAACCATGGGGGCCTACATCTAGGAATTGACAAGGTCATTTTTCATTTCAACCGTTATTATTGACCTTCTATTATGTACAGGGCACCATTGTCAATAAGACATGTGTAAGAGAGGATTCCCTCCATAAAATGTTGAAAGGAAGGCTTGGCACACCAGTAACTGGACAAAGCTCAGTAGCCATATGTAAAACCAGAGAAGGTACAAATGCTATGGGATTTCAAAGGGAGAGAAGTCCCATTTGGTTAAAGACACCAAAGGTTTTGTGAAGGACCTGTTGAGGAAACCTTTAAAGGTTAAATATGATTTTGAAGGTGAAATAGAGGAGGATAAAAGCATCCAAGACATTGGGATACAGCAGAAGATAGAACCTTCAAAGAAGTTAAAAAATAAACTCCAGAATGAACAGTTTACAACCTTCAGCCCATGAGCCAAATCTTGCCTAGTGCCTTTCTTTCTGTATTTCCTGTGAGCTAATTTTATTTTTTAATGGTTGGGGAAAAATTCAAAAGAAGAAAAATACGTTGTAATGTGAAAATTATATTAAATTCAAATGTCAGTGTTACAAATACTGTAAGTTTTATTGGAAAAGAGCCATGCTCATTCAGTTACATATTCCCCATGGCAGCTTTTGCACTACCAGGGCAAAGTGAAGTGGTTGCAACAGAGACCCTGTGGCCCACAAAGCCCTAAGAATTCACTCTCTGAACCTTTACAGAAAAGGTTTGTCAACCTCTGCCCTAGGATTATAACACAAGTATCTCCAACATTGTCAAGAGGATTTTGCCATAGATGAGCTAGAATTCTTAGTAAAATACTAGAGACCCGGTGCACGGAATTCATGCAAGGGGCTTGGCCCTCACAGCCCTGGCTTCGTCCGGAAGGTCGTTCAGCTATCCAGTCTAATTAGCATATTATGCTTTTATTATTATAGATATTTAAAACTTTTATAAAATAATTCAAATCTTTGATTTTGGATTTCATTGTTTAATTCAGGTATATATAATATAGAATCAAGAAAATGTGTACAATTTGGCAAGCTGCTAATCAAAAAAGGTAGAGATACTAAAATTCAGTAGTAACATTGACATTATTATTTTTATTTCCACTTCAGTTAACTAGATTGTTTACCTGGATTGATAAAAGTAAACATTTTTTTTGTAAAGTAAGATGCACACATATAGGCTGTATTTTGGCAATGGATAGAATAGCAGAAACACTGATAGGATTATGTCACGTGGAAGAGAGTGGGTTTTCTTTTTTTCTGGATTTGTGAAGTGTACGTGTGTACACTTATTATTTTTCTCAAATATGATGGGAACTCTGTGTTCTTAACTTGATAACATCTATAATTTGAAACATTTTATTATCTTTTTATTAAGGTTCAGACTAGATTGGAAGTTTTGTGACTATCTTTCTTAAGCACTAATATATGTACTGAGTCCCTTTATTGGTATTTGTTTTTCATGAACAGTTTAGAAACATTTAGAAAATAGGGAAAGGTAGTTTTAAAAAAATTACCCATAAACATATCACACAAAAACTCACTTTTAACATTTGGTCAGGCTTTTTATTTCTAAACTTAGGGTTTACAAAGTTACGTTGTCATATTTTTATAAAATTTATACTTTTTATTCTAACTTTATATCCTAAGCATTTTTATGTTTTTATGTAATCATATATGTTATTTTTATATACAGATACATTTTGTTTTATAGCTTGATTTTTTCACTTAAACTGTTTCTTGGGTATTTTTCATATCAACACACATAATTGTACTTTATTCTTATTTACTAAACATGTTAATTATTTGTATTGCCTTTTTTTATAACTTTAAAACTTTTCTGAAAAATATTTTACTTTCTGTGCAAGAACTGATATATTTGTTCTATGGCCCACCTTCCACAAAGGAATAAAATTTTTGTGTTATGAAGTCCAAGAGGTAGATATTATAAGGTACAGTGGAAAATAAGTAATAGGTAAAACAAAACAAAGACTATATAAAACATTCAGAGTGATGTAGAAAGATTAATGCTATGAAAATCTAAGAATGAGTATATTATAACAGTTGGGTCCTGATGTTTTTAAAATATACTAAAAGAAATGATGCAATAAATATGTAAATATTTGAAATAATAAAAGAAAAGAAGTCATAAAAATTCTCAAAGACCTTCATAAACATTTCTAAGAAAATTATAGATAAAATCATCCAAGAAGTGATTGCATCATGTGTTATACTGATTTTGATGGCAAATAAAGAGACGATGGCTAGTTGTTCTTTCTTGAGTCTTCAGTTAGATTGCTCAGGGAGAGAGAGATGGAACCAAAGTTACATGCTTGAAATGAAGATCATTTAGATGACTATGCTGCAAAACACACCTTACATGAATTAGACTAGAAGGTTGGTGCAAATTGAAATGTGTATATTTTACTTCGGTTCCTGATTAAACCCTTAGGTTGAAATTCAATGGGGGCTGAGATAATATATAAAAGATTATCTCTCATACTTGTCTGGTGCTGAATTAATCATTTGTAAACTGAATAAAAACTGTGATTATATTAAAATAGGTCTGTAGGCAAAAATATTATATACAATTAATGATGTTTTATAGTATATAAGCTAACATAACTTAATCTGAATTGTTTTCACCTAAAATCATAACAGTGGCTAAATTAGCAAAGTACTACATTCAATACCTTTTACTTTTAAGATTGAAAATATAAACTGATCTTTTCCTTCTAATTATTTTATAATATGTCTCTATTAGGCTTCACTCAGTGCACCAAAAAATCAGGTAAACTGATATAAAAGATGAGTTGAGTGCAGTGAAATATAAAATGTAAAAGATTATAATTGCTGGCTTCTATGAGAGTGTCTTTGGAAGTCAATTTAGTATTATAGGGCATAGTGTTATTTTAGTGTGTTTATTTTTCTCTTATTTTTAGCTTAAACTGCCTCAATGCATTGTGACACAATCTTTGCAATATGTCTTAATGGTGGAACAATTCAGAAGTATTAATTTGTGAAGTTAATATATGTTATACATTATGAATATAAATAAAATATTAAGAATAAAGCATTGCAGAGTAAAGTATAATGTAAAATGTATACAGAAGTAGGAATTTTATACTTTTGTATGTGAATCAGGAGAAGGCATGGTGCTTGGCCAGGTAATTCAAACCTAAATAAGGTTGTGACTAAAATGAAATGCAATTTTATTATCATGCAAGCAAGATAGAATAGTCCTGATAAAAGGACAAGAAAGTCATGTGTTATCTGTTGCAGTCTAAGGTAAACACACAATACAATATACAGATGCACTATAGAATCATATAGCTGAAACCTATATAATTTCAGTAACCAACATCACTCCAATAAATTTAATAACAAGTAAATTTTTAAAAAGAAATTCCTCCAAATTTGAAAATACATAAATAAATAAGTACAATTTCTGAGTGAAATGTGAAAGCATGTAGTTGTTTGTTCCAATAGATTTTTTGTCAATAAATATTTGTTGGGTATCTGCTTAATCCACACAGTTCTTCGTGTGAACATAACAAAGTCCATGACTATATTGCAATTTATATTTAGGGGGAGATGTATCTAGCAAGTGAAAATAAATATGTCCTGGGGTATCTAGGCAAAGTGCTAGAGGAAAAATATATCTGGGTGAGGGAAAAGAGTTATGGTTTGAGGAAGTGTTAGTATTTCAAGGATGGGCTCTCTGAGGAGGGGACATTTGAGCAGAGACCTGAATGAACTGAAGAGGTAAGCCACTCTGTCATCTGAAGAAAGAAGAAAGAGAGGGACCAACAAACGCAAAGACTCTAAGTTGGAGGTACAGTTGCTGAGTGAAGGATCGAAAAGTAGGCCAATGTAATAAGAGAAGAATGGACAGTCCAGGGAGTAGTCAAAGACAAAAGTTGAGGGTGACACTTGCGTGCCATGGGGAGGATTTTATTCTGAGACAGAAAGCCATTGGAAATATTTGAGTATAGAAATGACATGATCCAAAGTTGTGAAAAGATCACTGTAGCTACTGTGAGGAGGATAGACTTTAGCTTTCTGCAGCGGTTACCTTTGAACAGCTGTGGTCTTGAGTTTGTAATTAATCCTGGGTGTTTATGGGCCATGTTTCAATGCCAAAGGCAACGCAGGAGCATCTTTACTGTGTAGGTGGATGATGTTAGTCATGCATTTTGTCATGGTGAGTTGTTGGGAAGATAACAGATTGGCTACACAAAGAATGATCAAAGCACAGGGATAGTTTTCAAGGTGACCAGGAACTTGGAACAAACTTGGATATATAATTTTTCTGCTTTTATGGCCTTTTTACATTCTTAAAATTCAGATAAAAAGTCCTTGGTAAAACTTTCTTCTGATATTGAATTATTCAGGATTCTTAGCATGTTCTAAGATGGAATTTTTTGTTTTGTTTTAAAACAAGCAGAAGAAAGGGAATTAATTTAGAAAATTTGCCTACTAATATTGAAAACCATATTCTTGCCACCACTTCTTAATTACTAAATTATCAAATATAGAAAGAATTGGTGGAATTTGTGACATTGTTGCCAATAGTACAGGGACATAAGGCCATTTATCATTATCTGTAAAATTGCTCATTGATACCTTCTTTTCTGAAGAATGATTGAAATTTATCAAAAGCATTTACAAACATCATGCTCTTTGGCCCAACAATTGCAACTTCAGGAATTTATCCTAAGGGAATAGTCAAAAATAAATAAAAAATGATTTTAAGTGGTATTTAATATAGCTTTATAATCATGCACACACAAAAGAAAATAACTCAATATCAAATAGGCAATTTGTTAACCAAATTTTAGTAAACATTAGAAAATTTTATGCAGTTATTGAAGAAATGTTTTATTTAATGGTATGTAAAATGGTCACAACATATTGCTACATGAATAAAATGGGATACAAAATGCTATCTATATTGAGTAGGGTAAAAAATACTCAAAAATCCATAAAAATGTTAACTATTAGTTCTTTCTGAGTTAGGGCAATTTTTATTTTCTTCTTTGTACTTTTTATCTTTTTAAGCTTTAGATAATGAATATGTACTACTTTTATATTTAGGAAAAATACAGTATATATTATTTTAAAGTATACTCTTTTATAATAAAAAAGCTAACATTGTAACATAAGAATATGTTAGTGTTTTAAAAACATCTTAAAATATCCTATTTCATTTGAGTGGACAAAAAGGCTTTTCTAAGAAATTCGCTATATGACCCTCTTCCGTTTTGCTACAAAAGCTATGAGATCTGACAATGACCTTTGCTTTTCATGGTCATCTTTATGGAGAGGTAAAAGAGAGGAACCTTGAGGGATGAAGGGCTAACTAGAGAGAACAAAATGATTGCTGGTCTGGGAGTCTCAGCATGCAGTCCTCCCCTATGACAGGTCAAAAATGGTTAAGGTTGGACACTGGCCAAATTCTTCCTTTTAAGGTTCAGTTTCACAAGAACTGAAAAAAAAAATGACCAAGTGAGGCATTTTCTGGTCTCACACATAATAAGTCCTTGATGCTCAGGCTAGGGTCTCATTCTTGCTGAATCAGAAGCAGGCAACAAACAGCTAACTGTATAGGTTTTCATCTACTTCCAAAGCGTAACCCTCCAAGGGCAAGCCAGCAGACATGGGCAAGTGGTGGTTACAGTCCTGAGACAGAGGAACTTCATGCTACACTGTCAATCCTGAGTGAGTTATAATGTTCAGATTATGCTAGTGCTGCTTGGCTTCTTAGAATAGTTTTTTGGTTCAATAGCTGCTAATTATTTACTTTCATTATTGCTTATTATTAGTGTAAACTTATTTCTTAAAAAAATTTTATTGAGGTATAATTGACATAATACATTATATTAATTTTAGGTATCCAACATAATGATTTGATATTTGTGTAATAAACCATATTTCTTTACAGCTTATGGACTACTTGGAAATAAACCTTAGATGTCTTGTTGGCTCTGATGAAACAAAGCTCTATTTGTGTAATAAACCATATTTCTTTACAGCTTATGGATGTCTTGTTGGCTCTGATGAAACAAAGCTCCGAGTAATTGCTACAAAATCAGACTTCCTCCCTTTGTCCTCTTCTACCATCCTTGGGATTAATAATGCTCAGTCAGCCAAGCAGATTTATATGCAAAGACCTAAAACACTGCTTATTTAAGCACTCTAGATATGCAGTGTTAACATTATTGGAATGAGGAAGATGATATTTAACTTATATGTACTATGTTTCTAAAGTTACTAAAATAAAGGTTGACTTGATAACAAACCCAAGTATAACCTAATTTTCATAAGTTGATGTCATCTCTAAACTATTAAAAAGCATTTTTATTTGGCATACTGTATGAATGAGGAAAATCGATGTTCAAAAAAACTTTTAAAGGGAATACATTTGAACTATACGATGCACCTCTTCTCATTTCCATTCTTGTTCCTTTAAGATTAATGTAGTTAAGTCATTCCATTGCCTCCTGCCCCAAAGCTAATAAGACAGACATTACACTCTGTTTCCAAACACAGAGGGATCAGTAAGCAACTAACTTAGAATTCACCTTAAACCAAGCAAGAGACCACATTCTAGTTATGTTTTCCTCAAAGTCCCTCAACTGAATCAGAATATATGAGAGGCAAGAAAGTATGAAAGAAGGGAGGAAGTGTGAGAGGGAGGAAGGAAAGAAGGAAGGAAGAAAGGAAGGAAGGAAGGAAAGAAGAAAGGAAGGAAGGAAGGAGAAAGGGAAGGAGAGAGGAAGAAAGGCAAGGGTATTTTGGAGAGATCATATTCTGATCTAGGAGGGCGGGTCTAGATCAAGTGTTATTTGAGTGAGCTTTGTTAACCATAAAGTAGTATAATATTAGATGTCAGGGAATTAGGGACATGGGTCATCAGATGATAGGCAAGGGATGGAGACAGGGACATGTCAGAAACTAAAGACTTAGTTGATATTACAGTGTTGTCTAGAATCATACCACATTGGGTGATGCTACATATAATACCCATGCTCATCCTCATCATGATCATAACTATTGTTTATTAAGTGCTTAAGCACTTGCTAATAGTGAAAGATAAGTATGTTCCATATATTTTTTTCTTAATGGGGGGATGGTGAAGTAGATTTACAGTTGTTTGTGTGGAAAATAATACAATCCTATATAATAAAGAGGTAATATGCAAATTGACCATCACTCCAACACACAAGATGGCCGCCCCCATGTGGCCACAAGATGGCCAGCAGGGAAGGGCAGTTGGGGACAACCAGGCCAGCAGGGGAGGGCAGTTGGGGCAATCGGGCCAGCAGGGTAGCAGTTAGGCATTGATCAGGCTGGCAGGGGAGTGGTTAGGGGGGGATCAGGCTGGCAGGCAGAAGCAGTTAAGGGCAATCAGGCAGGCAGGCAGGCGAGTGGTTGGGAGCCAGCAGTCCTTGATTGTAAGAGGGATGTCCGACTGCCTGTTTAACGGGCAATCAGACATCTCTCAAGGGGTCCAGATTGGAGAGGGTGCAGGCTGGGCCGAGGGACACACACACACCCCCAGCACGAATTTCGTGCACCGGGCCTCTAGTAATCAATAAATAACAATACAAGAATAAACTGTTTCATGTACTCACAACTGTAAACCTACTTTTGCCAACCCCTGTATTTAATCCTCCCAATGATCATTGAGTATATATACCTCTATTTGACAGATGGGTAAACTGAGGTTTAGGCTTAGGCTAAAAACTTGCCCATGGTGACACAGTTAGTATGGAGTATAGGACTTGAAGTTCAGTCTTTGTTTTCTTGAGATTCTGTGCTAGTAATCACCTGCAGATAACAGGAATTTCTATAACAGCTTTTAATGTCAAATTTATAGGAATCATGCAATAGCTTTTTTGCTCTGTCCACATCATGGAATGAGTATTGAGGTCAAATCACTAAAATATACTAATGGATAAAATAGTATAGTCAGCTCTGGTAGTTTTAACAATTTAAAATAGCAGTGGTGACTGGTGTTATAAAAGCCATAACACACCTTTCTGGAAAGTAAAAGGCAACCAAATTCCTTTTCCAATCATTCTATTGCATGTGCATTTGGCAAATCTGTCACTGCTTCTGGCTGTTGTCATTTTTTTTAATGCAAGCATTTCTTTGCATGGGTATCTCTACTTCATAATCTATTATCTTTTCTTTTTAAAATCATAATTGGAAACTTTAATTAATAAATTTAAAAAATAAGGTCACATATTCATGTGAATGCTTTAAAATTAACCCCATTTGCTGAAATGATGTGAAATAGCTCAGCAATGTTCCCATGTCCTGTTTTTATACTTCTTGATATTTCATATAATCTGCAATCAGTTGGACAGATATTAGGCGGAGCTGTGGAACCTGGCTGCCACTACCCCTGTGATGCTGAGTCTGGTGTTAACAGCACAGATGAGGAGGAGAAGCTCTTGACCAAGCTGGAGATTGACACAGGTGCAGGTAAGGGCACATCATTACCTAAAAAAAAAAACAACCTTCAGAAATCCTCTGCCAAAGTCAGCCCCATTTCCATCTTCCATCTTTTTATCCTTGTTCCTCCTCCTTCCAGGTCTATTTTCTTTTCAACTGATGAATGTGATGGCAAGAGGGGCTGAGAGGCCTCAAGGGGAGTTTTCAAGCTGATAAAAGATGTAGATGTTAATTTTTGAATACATTGGTAGCTAAAATTTTTAAAAAAGAATTTTGGATTATAAAAAACATTGATTTTTTATTGATTTTTTATATTTACTGGAGATTTTCATATCCAGTCTTCTTTTTATAGACTCAAGTTAGTTGACTGAATAGGAAGGTTGAAGACATGGATAGCCAAGGCACACTTCAGAATAACTTATTTGAACTCTCTATATTTTAAAAATTAGGAAATAATTTATTGCCATCAGCATATGACCTGGCTCTTGATGCTGAGCGTTCCAGCTGCCAATTAGAGTGACCCAACAGACGTGACTCATGCATATCTGCTCAAATAGCCTCTGTCCTTGAAATCAGGATTCCCATTTGTTAGTGGGTGACTTTTTCAAAAATACCCTGATTTGCACATATGTTTATGGGTGGGAGTATTCTTTTTATTCATCATGTGGTCACATTACCCCCACCTCAAACTTTTAATGGTAGTCATCAAGCACTGGGAGGTATTTGAGATTTTACCCTATTTTTAAGCAAACAAGTTAGACAGCCATAGTTTAATGAATGCTAGAAGAAGACCCAAGACTTCTGGGTCAGAGAAAAAGAACAAAACTTTATTATTCACACACAAAAAAAATAGCAGTAGCTAGAATATTTGCACTTATGCTGGTTTCCTGAGCTCCCACCCATAAACACCCGTGGTTGGCAAACTGCGGCTCGAGTGCCACATGCGGTTCTTTGGCCCCTTGAGTGTGGCTCTTCCTAAGCCTTAGGAGTACCCTAATTAAGTTAATAACAATGTACCTACCTATATAGTTTAAGTTTAAAAAATTTGGCTCTCAAAAGAAATTTCAATCGTTGTACTGTTGATATTTGGCTCTGTTGACTAATGAGTTTGCTGACCACTGCCCTAGGCAATGTGAAGAGGGCCAGGTGACATTTGAACATGCAGTGGGCTGAGTTGTATGACAAGGACCCTGTGCTTGGAGAATCCAAATCTTTTGTACTGGGCATTAAACCCAAGGAGTTCCCCAAACATTCTACAATGCAGGCACAGTAGTTGTTAGATCAAATCCGGTTAAAGGAAGAACATATATTGTAAACAGTGGGAGAGGAATATGGGAGGAAGATTTTGTAGGGCTTTCTGTGTGCCAGGCACTGTGCTAATCATCTTATGGTTTACTGTCATAAGAATTCTGTGAAATTGTTTTCTATTTCTATGTTATGATTAAAGAATGAAGGCTTAGTGAGGCATTATTTCCCAAGTTCATACAACTAGTAAGTGACAGAGGTGGCATTCTCACCCAGGTCTGTCTGACTCCCAAGTATGTACTCATTCCACTAAAACAAATTACCCTTATTTGTGAATATTGCTTGCTCTCTTATAGTCATTCTTTCAAAAGCCCACGAGGTAACCATCAAAAATTATGTCATATTTTTGTACTGACATTTCTTAGAAGGGCTTCAATTACTCCTTCTCCCTTGCTTTGGGAATGTCATGTCTGACTCCCCAACAGTGTGTGTTCATATAATAGCTCAGCTGGATGCCATTAGTACTTTCTCTTTTTAAATGTAGGCATAGTATATTATTATGTGGTGGGTAGGCAATTTTATTCCCCTGTTTTCCTGAATGTTCTTTAAATAATCCATAATTTTAGAGGCCAGTTTAGCAAAACAGAGGACTTTATTTAAATGTCTTTCATAACTGAATTTTAATATATTTCATGTAGGAATTTGAATAACAACAGATATATTATTAAAGAGACTTGTCATGCTTTGTAGTTTCTCACTGTTTTAGTTTTGTTTTAAATCAGAAAATAATCTGTAATGAAATAAAATGGACGATATTCTTTCAGGTGAATTGGCTGCATGTTCTCTGAGTGAACATTTGGTTCAACAGTTTCTTCTGGGACTTTCTATATACAATTTTGTAAATAACCACTCTGATATGCCGAGGACAGTCTATAAAAGTCAACACCAACTCTGTTGATAGGCCTGAAGTTTCTGTGTTATTACTTTGAAAGAAGACATTAAAAAATACCTTCTGAATGCATTTATTTTAAGGAAAATGTAATGTCAGTTATTATTACCTTACTTCAAAATGGTTTCTAGTAATAGCTGACAAGAGACAGGGAATGCAAGAAAGGACATCCGTGTTTTGTATTAGGAGAGGAAATGGAGTGATAAGACTGTCCTGGGTGGGGTATCAGACTACAGAAAATGTGAATAAGGTCAGGGCTTTAGGTTTCTGGTAGATTGTTGGTAATGGGATAGGAGGTGAAATGGCTACTCAAAAAGTAAATAAGCAAATAAGTAAATGAGGAAGACACATTTGCCTATTTATAGATTGACATAATTTGGAGGTTGACACCCTGGTATGATATCTTATTTTATAACATCTAGTCCAGTGTCATCTATAAGTGAAAAAAATTAAATTGATAAAAATTATTAAGATAACCATTTTAGAAGCAAGCTCTTACCTTTCAAAGTATTATTTTATGGTGTGAAAATTAAAATGCTTTAGGTGAATGGCATGACATGTCTTTATTTTGTGTAGATCATTTCAACAGAAATATATGTATTTGTTAAATAATAAGAAATCCATTTGAAGACTTTTAGGAAACATATTGAATTTGTATTTATTAAAGTACTGATAGCTAGTACACCCAGATTTGCCAGGGAATTATGGATGAGAACTTATGAAATACTTCAAGAAGGTTATTTATTGAAAATTGTTCTAGGCTACAAAGTCTTGTCTTGCTCTGTGATCCTGCTTTGCCGAAGGCAATCAGTTTCTGAACATAGATGGGAGGCATCCTGACCTATGATACAAATTGGTGTTTTTAGTAAAAAGTCTTACCTTTAGCTATAAAGTTATTTGATAACGATATCTAGATATAGTCATTTAAAATGTGAGGGTAAAAGATGGGATAATGATGAGCTCATACTGTATTATGATTATGTTGCTAAATGCCCATGTAAGTGTAAAAAACATGGGCTGGGATGGGCATATTATGGTGCTGTAGAGAACCATGATTTCTAAGAAGAGGAAATACTATTTTTTATTGCATAATTTTTGAAGTTCCTAATATTTCAAATGAAAGTAGGAGGGGTGGTGTGTGTGTGTGTGTGTGTGTGTGTGTGTGTGTGTGTGAAAGAGAGAGAGATTTTGTTATTCTAAGACAGGGAGTTTTTGTTTGTATTCAACATTTCTGATGTTCAATTTTTCTTTAATATAAATGTATCTATTAAACTTGATAGCATTTCTTTTCATCATGAAAAGCCATTTTGATGCATGTTATAGTTGATATCATCATAGAATGGAGAAATGTTTTATATATAATATCAATGGCCCCTTGATATTACATATAATACCTCTTGTAGTACATAATATTACATATAATATCTCCTCTCTGTGCACTTTGATTAAAGTCACCTTGTTTTCTAACCTTACTTTATAGTACCAAACAGGATTTTAGTGGCGGAAGAAAGCACAGCCCTCACTTCAAACAAAGAATCCAAGCCAGTTGCATCAGAAATGTACACAGTGGAGAAAGAAGAAGCAGTGGAAGAAGATGGGGCTCCCCAACACAGGGATGCTGACACACTAGAAGAAAAAGGGGGTGTAACACTGGGGAGTAAAGCAGGGATTAATGAGATTCCCTTGGGGGAGTGGAAGCCAACAGCAGAGCAGCCAGCTCTAGTAGCACTGTTTACTGGGGAAAGGGAGAGCCCTCAGGGCATAGCAAGCAGGGCAGAGGCAGAAGGGGCTAGAGAGCTGGATGAAGAGGGGTTAAAGCCAATGGCAGAAGAAGCAGCAAGAGCCTCAGGAAGTCTGAATGAAGAAGAGGCTCCTGAACAGCAGGCCTTGATGCAGACAGTGCTGGAGACAGAGAAGGCAGCTTCTGAAGAGGAGCAGAGTTCGGAGAAGGTAGTGTTTGCCTGCAAGGCTGCAGCTCAGAACTCAGAGTGTGTTCAGGAGGTAGCAGCCCCGAGAGAGGCTGTGATGCTGGAGAAGGGAGAGGCCGAGAGAGGGGTGGCGGTGAGTGAGGCAGGCTCTGAAAAGCCAGACATGGAGGACAGTGAAGAGAAAGCATCCATAGATCTAGGGGACATGGCACCTGAGGATGACACTGCATTCGAGAGAGCAGATGGTTCAGAAGAGGCAGTATTTGGGGGCGAGGAACCAGCCAAAGCAAGGAAGACGGTTATGAGAATCGAAACACCTTTGAGCTCCTCCACTTCTGAGAAGGCCGAGGCCACCAGCATGAGGATTTCGGAGGAAAGCCTGGAAGAACTTTGTAAGAAAGCTGAGAAAAAGAAGGATGTTGAGACTGAGGTAGAATCTAATAAGAAAGATGATAGGAAAGAAATATTACCTGAGGAATTCGATGCAGCAAGACAGAGGAGGAAAGCTGAGAGGCCAAGAACACCTCTGGGGGAAACTGAATCTGAAAGAGAAGAGGTGACAAGGGCAAAAGCTCCTCAGGATGAAGATATTTCAGCAGGAGAGCAAAAGTTTAAAGGGGAAGAGGGGGAAATTGTGAAGGAAGTAAGACCCGTGGAAGAGACACCAGGCCCCCTAGATGAAACAGAGTGTGATGTTAAGAATGCAGCACCCGTGGAGGGTCCTGAATGGACTGAAGACACAGGCCCGCAAGGGGATGATTCACCGAGAGAGAGGGAGGTGGGCATGCTTGAAGCAGCACCTGGATTTGAAAAGTCACCGGAAAATACAATAGTTGTGAGGAAAGAGGAAGGAGGGGAAAGACTAAGAGAAGCTGGAGACACAGGGCATAAAGGCAGAGCAGAGCTACTCTGCAGGGAGAAGGGGGAGAAGGCGACTCCCTCAGATCAGGATGGGGGGCCAAGCCCTGGGGGAGAGGGTGTGTTAGGAGCTCCTGAAAGTGACCCAGCAGGACATGCCCAGGAGTGTGCAGCCAAAGATCAAGATGGCCTTACAGGACTGAAAAAGAGGGAAAAGGAAGGGTCTTTACAAGGGGGACAAGGAGTGGGGGCCCAAGAAGATATTTCTGAAGGAGAGTCCGTGATGGTAGAAAAGTTAAGTGAGGAAGTGATGGATGAGGAGCCAGAGGAAGAGGTGGATCAAGAGTGCTCTCTCGAGACAGGAGTGATGAAGAATGGGCACGAAGAGGGGGTTGGGAGCTTACAAGGAAGAATGGTTGTGGCTAAAGAAGATCTCCAGGAAGAAGGAGTGGCAGGAATGGCTGATGAGAAGAGAGAGGTGTTGGCAGATTTGAAGACAGCTGAGGAAAAAACAGAAGCAAATACAGCCTCCTCCCTTTCAGATGTTGCTGATGAGAAAACTTGGCACAAAGTGGATGAGTTACTAGAAAAAACAGTGTCTGCAGAGAAGGTGGCAGCAGAGGAAATAGCGCTGAGCATGGAGAGGGTACCAGCAGCGGAGGAGGTGACCATGATTGGGGCATCAGAGGCTGAGGTGGGGGCTCTAGGAGAACCTTCAGACCTGGAAGAGAAGGCCCCTCAGCTAGGGCCAGATCAAAAGGAAGGGGAAGCAGGGATGGGGAGCCCTGGTGGGGTGCAGGAGTCAGGCAAGTCTGAAGATGTCAGACTGGGACTATCCCAACAGACAGAGTCAGAGCTGAGTAGAGAGGGTCTACAGGCTGTGGAAATACTCCCTGGAAAAGCCAATTGCCCTGGAATCCAAGAGAAGCAAGAGCACAAAGTGCAAAGAGAAAGTGAGAACACAGATGTTTCCCTGAACAGCAAGAAGGCCTAAGAGACTGCATGGCAGATGGTGAGTTTAGGCCTCATCTGTTTGCAAGATTAAGCAGATACCCCACCTTGGGTCCCCTCTCCTTTGGGCTGGCTCATCCCTTATCAGTCCTTGTATACACATAGCACACAGTTTCAGTTCTGTGCTGCTTAGCACCCAGCCTATCAGGACAGGGCTGGGTAAGATGGAGGTGGGGTCAAAGCACACACAGGGACCCACTCTATTCCCTTTGCAACTCTAAATCACATCCTTGGCCTTTGCAAGCATAGATCTCTGAAATTGTGAGTTTCTTATCTCCCTTACGGGGCCCCAAAGGTGCACTACAGAGGAGAAGGTGCCCCAGGGACATACCACAGAAGGAAAGAAAGCAAACTGTTCCAGAATTCATCCCCCTTTTAGTGTTGAAAGGAATGGCTGTGATTATTTGCCCTTAAATGGGCTCCATTCCTTAATTTCTGCAGTTTTGTGAAATTTAATATCTATGTGTTAAGAACCATACATATATAAAAGAAATTAAAATATGAAAATATGAAATATATATAATATATGTATATACTAGTATGTAAAATATTAAAGATGGTAACAAAAGGCCAAAATTATTTTTAGCATTTCCTTGTTTGCCTGCTATTTCCTTGATGCCTCCATATCTTTAGTGCCCAGTTTCTACTATCCTGAGTGATTATATTTATAGATATACTATCTCTTTTATTGGTTTTTTTTTTTAGGATATTTTAAAGATGTTTTCTGGAAGACTTCAAGAATGGAGAAAGATTCACCCAAGCATCTTGCCAGGACTTTAGATTTTATCTTTATTAAGAAAACTCACTGTGCTTGTCTGAGCTGATTCCCAGTGTGTCATTCTGGTCAGAAGCACAGTAAGCACCTTGAGAATACCTGGCAGATCGTAGGACCCTCCTTAGGGGCAGTGGTTTCTAATAAAGGACTCCGAGGCAGTCACACATTCAACATAGCTGAGACGTCTATATTCAAATCAAATTCATAGGGTTCCAATGCCTGACTTTTACCAAAGATCACCTGAAAGGCCCAGTCCTGACATCTAGGGTTTGTTTAAATTCCTTTTTATTTATAATCAAATATTACTCCCAGTTTCATACATGAGAGTTTTATTTAAAAACTGTGGCTTGGGGCTTTAATGACTCTGTCTGTGAAAATGAGTTCTAAAGGTCCTTCTATGTATACTCAATACTAAAGATTGCGCCGAACCTGTAAAATGATCCCATGCCATGTATAATCACTTACAAATATTCATTCCTTCTATTTATGCCAGAAGGGTGATATAAATGGACATATTATTTCAAAATGCCCTTTGTTTTGTGTGTGTGTGTTTCTGTAGTTTTGCTTCTTGAGGTAGACTGGTAAAAGCTTGTGAGATTTTGTCCTTGGGGGCTTTATTTGTGGGGCTACTCAAATTTTAATCATAGTAGTAAATAATTGAGCTGAGTGGAATGAGTAACAATAATTATAGCAGGTAAACCTTACACATCAGCACATATACCAACATTCTAGACTCTAGACTGTTTGGTTGGTGTCATTCAATAGAAAAGAAAGTTGGATTAAATTAGCGTGCTGCTCACCTTCCCAAGTTCTGTTATTTCAAACCTGTGAACTAACCTTGGAGTGCATTGTAAATCAACAGTCACAGTCACTCTCTGATTTACTCCCTGATATTGCTAGCAATAGCTGTGTATCTGTGTGCCTACTGGAGATTTTGATTTCCTTGAAGACGTCTTTGTTCATATACTGATAGTCCAAAGGGCACATATGTCTGGCTATCTTTTCTTCTCCACGTGAGGTGAAAGAAAATGTCCTAAAGCAGTGATTTTCTAGTTGGACTACACATTAGACTTTCATGAGACATTTTCCTGAATGCATGAATGATTCAACCCCTGGTTCCACCCCAAAGATTCAGATTTAATTAGTTTTAGATGGGCGTAGGCATCAGTTTTTTTTAAAATCCGGTTGATTCAACTATGTAGTTAGAATTGAGAACTGCTGCCCTAAATCATCTTATAATCCATGCTGGCTGCCTCCAGTGATTCTCAAAATGTGATCAAGATATCAGCATCGCTTGGAACTGTCCCAAATACGAATTCCTGTCCTCATGTTATTCCTATTAAATTAGAAACTCTGTGGGTGGGGTCTAGCAATGGGTGGTTTTTAACAAGCCTTCCAGGTAATTCTGATGTGCTCTAATGTCTGAAATGTGCTGTCATGGACAATTGATTGAATTGAGGATTTTGTGTCAGTCAAAAAATGGATTGTAGAAGCATTGTGAACTTTCTCTCTTTGTCTATATCTATCTCTCTGTTGCTTTCTATTTTTCTTTCTCTAGGAAAGGGTACTCACTATAAAAATGATAAATTCAACTTTAAACTCGTTTTTATTATGGCTGTAATGACATGTCTATGAAGTTCTTCAGCCCCACCCCCTATTGAGGATGTGTCACTGATGGCACATCATTGATTTCTGTCCTCTGAGAGAATTTCATCTACATTATATCTGATTTCATTGATGACTGAGCTGCATTACAATGGAACTTTACAGTATTTGTTCCTTGATCTCAACCTCAATGCTACAAAGCACTTTGAATGCATAGCACTTTATGGGAAAGATTGTAAACTTGTTAATTCTATTGAAGAAGGCACTGGGTACAATGTGTTAAATGGAAATTGCATTGGATTATTTTTATAGTTAATACATTTCATTGAAACATTCTGTAACATAATTCTACAGTCTGCATGTGGGTTTAACTGTGAAATTCAGTATTGTGATAGTTTGACCAAATGGATCCTTTCTCAGCAAATACTATGTTGATAAAATTATTTGTATGTTCTATTAAGCTGATTTTTTCTAGTTTCATTATTAAAATCATAAATAAACCATATATTTACAGATCAGACATGTGAATGGTTCTTTATAAGACTCAATTTTTAAAATTGTCTTTGCCTTTTTCTTACAAAAATTTAACTCCATAGAGGAGAGCAGAGAGGCTTAGTTTTATTAGACTATATTTTTGAGTGTATGTGTTTATATTGACTGACTGCATTCATACATGTCTTTCACATACATGGGATCATTCAGAGGAAAATTATTGTCAGTATTTCACAGATAAGTAGAAACTCAATAAAGTTAAGTGGGTTGTTTAAAGTCATGGTCAAACTCAGGTCTTCTTCCCTCCAAACTTTATTTTAACACATACACTACCTTCTAGGAATACACTAAGATACTATAGGTGAACCTCTACTAATACATATTTTTATTTACGTGTAGAAGAAAGGGAAAACAATTAGCAAAGAAGAGAAAGAAGAGTGAGTCGAGAATGACTTTAAAGAATTGTAGCTGTGTTTATTCCCTGTTCTCTTAAACCTCTTGCTGCTGGCCATGGTGACGAGGAACTTTTTTTCATTTTCATTTTTATTTTTTATTTGAGAGAGAGAAACATCGATGTGAGAGAAAAACATCAATGTGAGAAAGAAACATTGATCAATTGCCTCCTATATGTGCTCCCACCGGGGATTGGACCTGAAACCTAGGTATGTGCCCCAGCCAGGCATTGAAACCACAACGCTTTTTTTGTCATGGGATGATGCTCCAACCAACCGAGCCTCCAAGCCAGGGCAGGGAACTTTTCTTTAAGTGACACAATGGGTTGTTATATAAGGGGAAAGATTAAATCTCATTAATATATCCCATATCATCAAGAAGAGAGTTATATTTCCATTCACTGTCAATCAAAGAATACAGTAAATTATTTAAATAATTCAAGAGGAAAATAAGACAACCAAAGTAAAGGTAGACAGAATTAGCCTACTTAAATTTCTTGAGTTAAGCCTTTTCTATGACTTTATGCATTCTTGCGTTGTAAATTTATAGTTGAATTACTTAACATTTCTAAGATTAATAATTTTGCCATCATTATTGCTCTTAGAAAATGATTAAGAAAAGAAAAGAAAGCTTTACAAAAATTCATATAGTAAATGAAATAATCCAACACCTTCAAGGACAGTGAGAAGAGGCCATTTGTGACCTTGGATAATATTTCCTTCCAGTCTTCTACAACACCTGATTGTGTCATTTCAGAGAAGTCCCCTGTCATCATGGCCAGCAAGAGGTACAAAAGAACAGGAAATAAAAACAATTAGATGTCTTTAAAAGTCGCTCTCAAACTCTCCCTTTTGCTTTCTTAGTTTTTCTTTCCTTACAGCATGCCCTATGACAGGAACAGTACGCTCTTCAAACTAACAGGAAACAAAACACTCTGTAAGATAAAATGCTGGATATTTGAGAACGCACATTCCTTTTGAAATTCCTTCCAGAAGTCTCAGATTGTTTAATAATCTTCGTAATTCTTACAATATTTTGGAATGAATACCTCCATTCTTTGTTAGGAAAAATAAAGGTACACAGAAAACATGTGGGATAGAGAAGCTGGCGCCAAAGTCTACTTGAGAACCAGCTCTCTGCCTCCTTTGTGAAATGTGCCCTGGTCTTTATTAAATACCTACTTAGTATGAAAGGTTTTGTTAAAGACAAAGTTATAGGCGATATCTCGCCGTTTTTCAGGATCTTGGTACTGATGTGCCACAGAGACCGTCCAGCTGGTGTGGATGTGCCTCTGACAGGAGATGCAGGTGTTCAGGGAATTCACTGGCCGGGCCCCTTTGCATGTGTTCAAGCTCCACCTGCACTTTTGTTATAAAATGGACCCGAGGAGTGGCTTGTACCCACAGTCTTCCCTTTTGCCAGTTCCCCACGCTCTCTTCACAATAGATGCAGACTCTTCCTTCATTTCCAGTTTTCCTGTGTTGTCTCTGGAATGTCACAAGTGACAAAGGAACAATTTGGAATAGTGTCGGTATTGAGAAAAGGAATGAACTTCATGCCTGGCTAACAAATCTTCTGCAAGTCAAGTGGCTTTCAATTCTTTGTTTTCAAGAAAACTACATGAGGACCTAATTACAGTGTCAGTTATAAGTCATTAAAATACTTTTTGGAATTTTATCAGCCTGTGAATTTTGGTAAATCACTCAGAAGGAGTTCAAAGAAGGTACTGCAGCACAACACAATGAAATCACTTCCATTCCCATCTGTTACTTATGTGACATGCAAATATTGTATTAGTGCATTTCCACAAATAAAATGGAAAATGGAATACAACTGATGTTGAACACTTGCTTTTAGCGGTAAATTATATTTGTACACAGATGCAAAAACTAATTAAAAATAGAAATCACTATCTTAACAGATGCATTTCTACTTTTATTATTTCGGTTTAATGTGTTTATCAAAATTTATAATACATGTATATGTTTTTTTGATCAAATGCATATTAAGAATTACTGCAATGATAGCTCGGCCTTGAAGAATTTAACACATAAAACCCTATGTTCATAATTAAATTAAATTTCAAATTAAATTTTAATTTATATAATATAGTTACAGAAAAGTATGACAAGGGGTGATCAAGAAAAGACTTTCAAGCATCAAACTATAATAGGATACAAATTGGTGGGGAAAGTGGAATAAAAATGTAAGTTTTAATTAGGAAAAAAATAATGTGAGGTTTTTCCTAATGCAAAAGAAGAGCTTAGTCATGTACTTTTGAAAACAACTATCTTAGGTCAAGTTCCCTGGGAACTACTCTAGAACAGAGGTTTGTGTGCAGGTTTGTTGGGGACTTCTCTAGGAAATAACACTGTCGGGAGTGAGGGACTTCAAACTGGGTTGAGAGAAAGATGGGCTGTGGTGTAGTTACCCCAGAGGCTGCAGCCCATCCTGTGGGAGGGTTGGAGCTCAAATGACAGTGTTATATTGTAAATCAGCGAGCGGAACATAGGACGCCTTAACAAGCCAATTAGGAGGGAGCTGTCTCCCAAATTTCTGAGCAAAAACATGGAGGAAGCTTTTCCTATTTATATCTTTCCCAGTCCTTTGTCTCCCAAATATGGGGGTTCCGGACCTTCTGCAGATTTTACAAAGAGCTTTGTGTAAGTTATTTTTGCAGACAGCTTGTAACCTTGAGTAACTAATAGGGAGTAGCATCAGCCCCTTACGTCAGATGGCTAGCCTGCAAGGTCAAACAGCTAACTTTATCTTCCCTATTATTCACTCAAGCTAAAAAGTAACGTTAATTTACAGAATAAGGGACTGTCTAAAAAATAAGAGTTGACTACATAGAACAAGGGATCATTTAAAAAGGGCAGAGGATTTTAAGCAGTAATTTTACAAAATAGAGATGATTATGCTTCAACAGAATGAGGTAAAGGGCCAGGTCTCTGTGTCCCCACAATAGACCAGTCACTGATATTGGCTGCTTCCTCAGAAGGGAGCATAACCTTCAACTAGGTAGTTCCTTTCAGTCCAAGGCACTTCCTGTGGAGGGACTTGGACATGAGCCAGCAGCTGACCTCACTCTGGGCACCTGGGGAATGAAGGCTCTGACTATGAAGGAGGTATCTGGATGGCACCCCACCACATCCAACACATGGATAAAGGTGATACCAAATTGTGATGGCGCATCTTTGGACACATATAGGGAAGAGTTGTAACCATTTTATCTTAAAACATTCCATTTTATAATATGCTAGAAATTATACCTGTAACGACTAAACTTATATGAACATTTGTAGATATCAACTAAAGATAAAAATTGTGTGAGGGGTTACTGACAGTTTTTCAAAGCTCTCTCAGTGGTAGGTGAGCAGAAATATTTGAAGAGCCCTGTTGAAATGGACATGGTGAATAGCACAGAGCTGCATTTCTCAAGCTACAGGGCATGGCGGCTACCACAAGTGAATGCTGAAATTCAGGTTAATGTGCAGTTTGTTTTGGCTACACAGTATTAAAGTGATATGGGTCAGAAGAGTAAATCAGAGGGCCATGCAGCTTGGTGTTGCTACAAGGAAGGAGAAAGAGCTCTAGTACAATGCCTGGCTGTTTCTAGGGAAGGAAGCGTGGCCCTTGAGTGTGTGTGAGTACACAGGCAGAGCAGTCCACAGGTGTACTCAATCAGAAACCCAGTGCTAAAGAGCAGGGTCGGCAAAGCCTTTCTGTAAAGAACCAGATAGTATGTAATTTAGGTTTTGTGGGACATATAGTTGTAACTACTCAATTGGGCATTTTAGGGTGAAAGTAGCCACAGACAATACTTGAACAAATGAGTGTGGTTGTGTTCCAATAAAACTTCATTAAAAAAATAGTGGAATGGCAGATTTGGCTTACAGAGTATAATTTGTCAACCTGTGCTAACAAGCATTCAAGTAAATAATAGTTCTACAGCATGGATGGACCTGGAGAGTAATGCTAAGCATAATAAGCCAGTCAGAAAAGGCTTATCACATGATCTCAGTAATCTGTGGAATCTAATGAACAAAATAAACTGATGAACAAAATATATCCAGAGACATAGAAGCATGGAACAGAATTTGGAACCGCAGAGGGAAGGCAGGGGAGGGTGGGTGAGTGGGAAAAGATCAAACAAAGAACTTATATGCATATATGCATAACCCATGGACACAGACAATAGGGTGGTGAAGGCCTGGGGCCAAGGGGGGAACATGGGGGCGGGCTAGAAGAGGTCAATGGGGGAAGAATGGGGACATATGTAATATTTTCAACAATAAAGATTTAAAAGAAATAAATGAATAAAAACATAAGTTCCTCAAGGCTACAAACTGTGAAAAAAATAATAATAGTTCTGTAACTGTGTAAACGAATTCTCACCGCCCCCCCCTCCGCAATATGCCACAGAAATTTTAGTTTTCAAAAATAATGCTTTAAACAGAAACATTTGGAAACAACTAGCACAAGGAATTTTTAAAATCTTCCTCTCTTTCTAAGGCTTTATTACATCTTAGCTAGGTTTATAATCCCTCCTTCCCCATCTC